GTCTCTTAACTAGTGCGAACATATGTTGAAGGGATGTTTTTTTTTTCTTTGGCACACATTGTCGTCGTCCCAGGAGACAAGTACGGCTACTAGCGTGTTGTAGTTCATCAAAACGCTGCCGTACTGCACGCAAATAGCAAAGTGACATTATGAATACATGCGAGAGGTCTACTGGGAGGTTGATTTTTTTAAATGCGAGAGTTATAATGAGGTTGGCATTTCACATTTAGGTCACTTTTGTTTGGCAGGTAAGACTTAATGAGACCACGTTTCAATTAATTATACTTTCAACTAGTTTGTTACTGAAACAAAGTCCTTTGATAACATCCTACGAGTGCAGCATTAGAGTTAAGGACTGCAAAAGTACACTTAAGGAAATTCACCGCTCCGAAAAAATAAATACGTTATGACTTTTCTAAAAATATTGAAAAATGGTATCACATTTTTTCAAATTTTTCAAAGAAAATTCACGTGCAAAAACATTTTTTTATAAATCATTATGGCGTAAAGTTGGACTCAAAAAACCACAAAACATCGACCTTTCGGTTTTGCTAAGAGTCTATTTTTTTTCATGATGAGATAGAAAAAATATTTTTATATGTAAATTTTGACAAAAATCTAAGGAAGAAACTGATTTGCTTGGATTTTTTTATATTTTTCCCAACTGTTTGCAATACCATTTTTAATGTTCTTCTTCTTCGCATTTCAAGCTTATTGAAATATCGCATATTAGCTTATTGCATGCTCTCAACTTAGTGTTCTAGATGCACTTCCACAATTATTAATTGAGAGCTTTCGATGCCTGTACCATTTTTGCATTGGTATAATTGTGTGGCAAGTTCAATCATACTTCTATGCCCAGGGAAGTCGAGAAAGTTTTCCAACTCGAAAAATTCCTAGACCGGACCGGGAATTGAACCCAGCCACCTCCAGCATGTAGCATGCTTTGTAGCTGCGCCTTTACCGACTGAGCTAGGGGAGGCCATTTTTAATGTAGTCAGTGAATAATAACGTTGAAAATTCAGTAGAAACGGTAAAATCACAATTTTACTTTGAATTTCGTGCTACAATACAGAAACAAAAACACATAGGACGCTTTGACTAGTCAAGTTGTACATCGGACAGGTTACATTGGACGATTTTTCTCAATGACATAATCAATGAGTGTTACATTGGACGTTTTATCTACATGATACTAGATTCCCTTTCACAGATTTCAGAGTAGAGTACCTAATTTTAGAATGGCCCCGCCTTTAGAAAATGAACACCAATCATGTTAGGCAGTCCAAATGACCGAAGTGACAATCATGTACCCATCATTTCAAACGGTACATTGGACAATTTTTGCCCTATGAGTATCTTAAATGAATGAAAGTAAATTAGATTGTATCGCTTAACTCGATTTATTAACATTTGTTACTTAGAACCTTTTGAAAAGTGAAGCGAGATTTGATGTCAATCTCGTGGTTTTGACGAATCGTCTCTTTGACTCACTGTCCCACGTCAAGGAGAACTATTGCCGCGACGACTAACACGCTTTATACTCATTATTCTCGAAAACTTAAAAAGCACTCCGATAGAATCAACTTTTTTCTCCATTCGATAGACCGAAGTGCAGCGCCATTGAATTTCAATGCGTGAGGCTAAATTTCGTACCCGTATGCCGAATTTACCGTCAAGAAGGGATGTTACATTTTCAACAATATCTCAACTATTTGTTACTCTTCATCAAATCGTACGTACGTACCCAACTGAAAATTAATTGCCCATTCAGTGTGTTGTTTCAGGCACAAGCTAACATCACCATCTGTCGAACAATGCTGAGAGCTTAACGAGAAATTCGTTTATATTGCCGTGGTAAACCAAAGAGAAAGTCGATGAAGAGGATAGACCCTTTTCGAATGTTACGCGGGATTTATATTATTATTATTATTTATATCTGGCATCTATTAACAAATTGATATAAAATTGCTTTCGTCTTGTTCTAAAGCCCTGCCAATTTAGAATCGGTAAGCTTCTTTTTGTCCGGTACTGCGCTACTAGTGGTCGGTTCAGGAATATTTTGGTCATTATTTTGAAATCCTCTGCAAAAATTCTAAAAAAATATGTTTTCTCGAATTGCTCTCGCGATGAAAGAAAGCAGAAGAAAATTAATTCTGCACACAAGATATGAAAACCCGACATGGTCGAGTACTAGCAATGCTGAAACGTTTTAACGAACATTTGTCTGTTTCCCGGAAGGTGCAATCAAGGCGTCAAAGCGTTACAATGGACCGGAAACTGCGTCAGTACGTCATGAAGGCTTTCAAAGTGAATCCAGGACTTTCGGACGTGGATGTGGTCAACAAACTCAGTGCTGTGCGCAGTACAGTTCGGAATATACGCATTCAGGAAGGTTTTTTCAAGTATTGGGCTATTAAGCAGCCGATCCGGACCGTAAAGCAAAAAATTACGTCCAAAACGCGGGCCCAAAAGCTGTATGATCATGTGCAGACCAAATTCAATGGATGCATCCCTATGGACGATGAAACGTATGTCAAATTGGTCGCCAAACAGCTTCATGGACAGAAGTTTTATGTAGCCAGAGTTGCGGCGATGTTCCCAAGAAATATACATTTGCTTTTGCGGGCAAGTTTGCCGGATGATCTGGCAGGGAATCTACAGTTGTTGGCAGAAGACTCAGATTTTTATCACAACCAACAATATGAACGTACATCAACGAATGCCTGAAAAAACGTTTATTGCCGTTCCACCGGGGCCTCGTCAAGTTTTGGCCAGGTTTGGCGAGTTGCCGCTACAGTAAGAATGCGCAACAGTGGTACCGCAATAATGGAGTAGACGTCATTCAGAAAGGGATGAACCCTCCAAACTGCCCGGATTTTCACCCAATCGAAATGTACTGGGGTATCATCAAAGCTAAACTGAATAAGAGTGGGGAAATGGCGAAGGATGTTATTTAAATGGCCAGATACTGGAAAAAAGAGCATCCGGTGAGGTTGACTAGCAGCTTGTGCCGAAGGTAGGACTACGTCTATGATTTCTATATAGCGGTACACTTTGTGAAAACCGAAAAAGGAACATGTAACGAAATTATGGAAGATTTAGAACGTTAATAACTCAGCTGCCCCTGGACCAATTTCAATAATTTTATCACCAAGCGATCAGAAATATTTCTACGCATCGATAGCAATGCTTCCGACTGTAAACTATTGAAAAAGTAGTAAATGTCCAGCATTGTCCAAAAACGTTGAAATAACTAACAAATTCACCAATTACGTACATGCATATGCTGCTTCCCCAACACTGTCATCAGAAAGTCGTTAGTAGACGAAACAAGTCGAAGTGGCATTCGTCTCCGATCTTCGAACGTGTGCGAATAGGTAGAATGCAATTGCGTAACATTTTGCACACTCATCGCCATATTCAGAACCACACGCCTCCAACGACCATATACAATGCTCTCCAGAGTAGTTGTCTTGTAACCAAACATGGAAGCAGGGGTGTAAGTGCATTTTGATCGATTCTCTTCATCGACTTTCTGTTTCGTTAATAACTCGACGGCAAACACATTCATTGATACGTGTGTTGTTCTTGATGATAGAAGAGCATAGCAGAAATAGTGCGAAATAGGTTAGTGAAGCCATGATCATCAAAAGAGGAAATCGATGAAGATAATTGAATTGCACTCCTCTGCTTCTAAGCCCCTTAATTCAGTCGTCGTCATCGCAATGAAAATTAGCATCGCAACGCTTTTGGTTCATGGGTTACACTTGCTGGTTGCAATTCTGCTGTTCGACATTTTCGAAGGACCACCAAAAAACATGAAATTACACTAATTCCTAAAAGTCCAATTATTCGATTAACGATTAATCGTAAAGATTTGTCCAGCTATACGATTAAATTTTTATTGATTTTTCCCGTAATCGACATCCCTTCTTATTTCTACTCGTTTGATTTAGCGCAGTAGCGAAAATAAATGAAAGTACTAATTTATCTGAACAGGCGTAGAGAAAAACCATGACTTGAAACAGGATCATAAATTCGCGAAAAAAGAGTTGAGCGTCTTTCTGCTAAAGGCTAAGATTTACCAACTTGTTGAGAGTTGGAGGCGAACCAGCCCCAGGCTGAAAGCCTCCCTAATAAAGATAAATCAATCAATCAATCAACTTGTTGAGAGAAGGATTTTAACGAGAAAAACTTAAAAGGGGAGGAGCTTTAGCTGGGTGGACACTGATATTCTGCTGCCTTCCAACCTGTTGCAGACACCAGTTCAACCCCTGTCCAGCAGCAGACGGGCCGAGACTCTTGCGAGTGCTCAATCATTGAACCGAAGAATATGGGATCATCCGGTCCGATTTGATGATCCCGCTGCCTACACGTCATCATCATCTTCCAAAGGCTTTAAGCCTGTACTACCATCGGCCCTTTTCAGGGCCACCAAGATTTTCCAAAAGAGTTAAATTTTTGAACACGTCCCAACTAAAATTCTTATCAAAAGGCTCTTGTCAGGGCAATCAAAGTCATACTAAAGAGTATAAACAGAGAGAACCTCGCTCAAATTCCTATTCCTACATGAAACACAAGCTCCTACTGCAGCTTACAAATAACATTTATTATATAAGACCACGTAGTCCTACGTCACAACCCCAAGGCTGTCCCTTGTAGTTTTATTTAAATAATTTTATTAAGGAAACTTTCAGTCCTTTGCTGGTTCGTCTCTCAGTCTCAATGCTGTTCTGCATGATTGCGTAGAAACAAATTGTGAAAAACTTTAATTTGATCTTGATTTAGGCCGTATAGCCAATTCGGGGAGCACACTAGTGCCATAACTAGCACATTTTCCGTACTTATTTTAATAATTATTGACGTTTCTGACGAACTTTAATGGAACCAATTGAAATCAATTTGTGAACCCTCTGGCTGCGAACTGAATTCCACCTGTCTCGTTTAAACATGAAGTGAAGTTTATAGAACAGTTATAAATTAGCAAATCGACTCACCTTGTACTTCCAGGCGTGCAAGTACATGACCAAATCCTGCGGCTTCGGGTCCCGGTAGCGCACCTTGCACTCGTAGCAGTGCTTGTCCGTTGTCATCTTGTCCGGATTGAATGCCAAATCGGGCGATTCGTGTCCAGTTTGCGTGGCAACGGTGACCTGAAAACACAAAAGTAGACACAATATGAAAATCTGCATATCGAAAAATACTATTGATTTCAAGAATTGGATGACAAACGGACGGCGAAATCCTACGGTTTTTTGCAGTACGAGCAAATAAATATAAACAAATCCCACTTTCCCTGGGAAAGTTTGAATCACAGACAAGCAAACGAAACTCTTCAAATAAATGTTCCTTACAAATATCGTCACGGAAATCCCTAACGACATCTCGTAAGCTGTTCGCCGAAAAAAAAACTACAAGGGACAGCCCTATGGGGTTGTACGCAATGGTGACGTAGGACTACGTGGTCTTATTTAATAAATCTTATTTATTAACTGCAGCAGGAGCTTGTGTTTTGTGTAGGAATAGGAATTTGAGCGGGGTTCTCTCTGTTTACACTCTTTAGAATGACTCGCTTGACATAGATGGCCCACAGTGACTCACGAAGAGCTACTGATTCCGAATAGCTGTGCGGCTTCTTCCCCCTTCTATGGATGGTCATGTGGGCTGCAGCTCGCTGCTTGCAGGTAGCCTTTCGTTGTGTACTGGAGAACACCACCACTCACCACGCGGTTATTGAATAAACACCGTTTGGTGGGACCGAATGGAATTCAACTTTGAAATCTGTGTTAGGCAAATTGCTTTTCGCAGACAATCAGTGTTAATTTTAACTATCAAAGCAACAGTTGCACATTCGTGCAATTTTCAATAGTGACATTTAAAAAAATGATAAAGTCTTAAATTTTGCAGTTGTGTAGAATTATATCTGATCGATTGGTGATAAAATTATTTAAATTGGTCCAGGCGCAGCTGAGTTATTAACTTTCAAAATCTTTCATTTTTTGTTACATATTCCATTTTCGGTTTTCACAAATTGTACTCCCATAAAGAAATCACAGACGCAGTCCTACGTCAAAAACTTGCTTGCCAAGTCGCAAAGAATGTTGCATACAAGTTCGATAGAATGTATAGAAACGTCAAAGTGATCCGATGCCAGCGCTGTGGTGAGAGATTCGCAAAACTAATCATATTTAAATTGAACCACGATCGAGAAAAAAGAGTTACGTCTGTTTGCATGTGGTTTAAGTGTGCAGAACAACAACAAAAAAGTATGCAACTCCGCATGACATTAATCATGGCCGGGACTGTGCCTGGCCTGGAACAAGGTACCTATCACAAAATCGAAAAAAACGCCTAAACTAAAACTCATCCCGCACGCGGTGAGTGCGGTTGCCATAAGCGCACTGAGAAAATCGAGACAGAAGCGATTTAGTCACATCACAATTTTCCATTCACATCAAATTTTAAAGTTATGGCATTCACCATAAACTGCCGGTATGCTTCCTATTCGCATGTGAAAAGTTTCCTTTTTTTGTGACGCTACGTGATATAATCTATGCATTGCATGTGTGTACGTCAGTACGTTTAAGCATAAACTGTTTGGACTCCACCAGAAAACCTCACCCGGTGCGATGGTAGTTGTAGGTAAATTGAGTGGCGAGGAGCCGGAGAAAAAGTTAGCTCGAAATAAAAAGCTGATAGTGAATGTGTGCAGATTGAGATAATGTGTCACGAAGCTACCCCTCCATGGGGAATTTGGCTCGTTTGGGGAAATATAACGTACCAGTTTCAACTATCGCTTTATCATTTCTGGCAATGCTTGGAAAGTTAGAGTTGCTTGAAAAAAAAAACAACTGACTTGCGTCAGAGAGAAATGGGAAAAGTTTTCCAACAAGGCAACAAGTTGAAACAGTTTGAAATTTGAAATGGAAACATTCTAACAAAATGTACAAAAATCACTCTCTAATGCAGCCGGCCTCCCGATTGTTGTTTTATTATTCCGCCACTCACGCTAACGCAAACAGAATACATTGAGCACCACTCAGCCCGACATCGCCAACCCGGAAATGAACCCTGTCAGGGCAATATTGGCAAATCATTCAAGGGCTCTCCACATCTCATAATTTTGTTAGCATTTTGGCGCGTTTTCGACGTTGAAACCATTCCACCACAAGGCTTGAATAATCCAAATGTGTTCGGTGGGTTGACTAGAGCTAGAAGCAGTGTGGCAGCAGCAGAGGGCCACGTTATGTTTTAGCATGGCACTTGATCCGAAAAACAACCAGTAAACCAGATGACTAGCATATGGCATTCCGAGTAGCACGATGAGTGGCACTTCCTAGTAACCCTTCTCCAGTGTAGAGCAACGACACTAGCACACTACATCAGCGCGAAATGGAGTCGTGGAGGCAGTAGACTATTTTTGGGTATATTCGCCACCACTACTAGACCCCAACAAGCAACACGCGGAGCATGGATGGAACTGACCGCCGGGCGAATGAACTAATTTGTACGATTTTGAAACCACTTATTAGAAGCTGCCATCCATGGCCAACATTCCTCTTGACCAACGAGAGCGGGGTGGTGGTGGACGGGGTTGCTAACGATTCGGGGGGAAAATCGGAAAACCGGAACGGCGGGAAATGTTTGCAGATGAAGCAATTAACTTTTGATAAATTTATGCAAATGGAAGTAACCGGTCGTGGGCTTTAATGAGCTGGTGGCGCAAAACGGTGAGGGTTGTAGAATTTAATTCGATTGGAAGTTGAAGGGCTGTTGAATTGCTACCCGATTCATTGGTTTAAAGTAGCTGGAAGAGGACAGTTTTCGAGCAATCAGTGACATATTATCCATTTATTTTCTGGAATTGGTACTGATTTATCAGTAACAATCGACTTGTTAAAGTCGTCAGTAAAGTTTCATAAGAGCATAAGTCGCAAAAATATCAAAAACTTTTTATTTTCGAAACTTAATCGAGAACGCACATTTGAACATTTTAGATGTAAAAACAAAACTATAGGCTTAGTGGCCAACGGCTTAAGAAACCCTAGCCAATTAGGAGACCAGCATGATGCATCACATCCTAGAGCATATTTGGATAGGTTCTCGATTAATTTTCTTGCGAAAACCCCTTGCTTTGAATAGGGTATATTTTATTTAATAATAGCTATTCAATACTCAAAATGGACACCAAAATTTGATTTGGAAATAACACAGCGTTTGAGAAAACTTTAAAATACAAACCATATAGTTCACACAATATTTCAAGATTCATCATGAACATAAGAATTGTCCATGACAATATTGCAAACTTCAAATGGGCCATTTCAGCTAAGTGTATACAAAGTTGTGGTCAATGTCACCAATTTCTACCAAACTTTGCCAAAACGCTTATTTTGATATTCTATGGCAACGCCTTTTTGGATTTTGCTCTAATGTAAAATAAACATAATAAAAATAAATAAAGTTTACATTTCTCACTTTTCGGCAGGTTAATCATCAAATCGTCTTAGTGTACACGCACTTTTACATAGGGTAAATGATGGTTTCGGCAATGCCTTATTCTATTATCGTTAGGGGGTAAACAACATCCTTGAGAGCTCTATTTTGGTTTCAGAGCATCTATTGGCCAAATATGAGTGCTCTAGGACTTTGTTTACCCTTCTGACGATAATAGGTTAAGGTATTGCCGAAGCCGACATTTCCCCTATGGGTCATTTCAGCTCAAGTGGGTACAGAATTTAAAAAAAGTTGTGGTCGATATCACCGATTTGAGCCAAACTTGGCCAAAACGCTTATTTTGGCATTCTGAACTAACGTTTTTTTTTTTTTTACTCTAAAGATTTAAAAAAATTTCATCTTTCAGAAGCTGCAAATAAGCTATTCGTGATCTTAGAACGTCAATTTGAAGGTTTTATAATGTTTATTCTTATTGGTGTACCCATATTTTGTTATAGTAACTACAGTAAACAGACTGATTACCGGCAGGTATCAACATTGTAAAAAATGGCCTATTTTCACCATGAGTGGGATTTTTTAATTCTTAACACTTTGGAAACTCTTCTTCCAGATGTGTTTCGCAGGGCAAATGATTTGGACAAATAGTTTTTGAGATATGACCAGATAAGTGAGTGGTAGTTTTGAGCTTTTCTGGTGGAAAATCAATGTTATTTAGTATTTTTTTTTTATTCTTAGAAGAAGAACATGACAGTTACGTTATGGAAAGTGTGTTTTCAAGAAATCAGAAATAAAGGTTAAACGTTTATTTTTCTTTATAACTATAATAAAAACAGCATTCTTGTTCGTGAGACTGTATCTAAGAAAATAAATGAATTACTCAAATAAGAGTATTATTCAAGTCATCCACAACTGAAATTTTATATACCTGCTAATCTATCTGATTTCATCGTACTTCTAAAGAACAACGTTTTGGCTGTATCCTATAGGAACGTATTTTTCACTTTTAGGACCACGATTAAATTATGGACACAATAAATGAGCTAGTTATGATTTCATATAATGAGAATCCTGCCCAGAACATGTGAAAAATAACATAAAAATGTTATTGTTCCATCGGCGTGAAGGAATTGAAGAAAAAAAAAAAAAAAAATTATATTGCATTGAAAAGCTCAAAACTACCACTCACTTATCTGGTCATATCTCAAAAAATATTTGTCTGAATCATTTACCCTTGAAAACACATCAAGTAGAAGAGTTTTTCGAAGTGTTGTGAAAATTTGAGCCCAAAATATTAAGAAATAAAAAATCCCACCCATGGTAAAAATAGGCAATTTTTTGACAATTTGGATGCTTGCCGGTAATCAGCCTGTTTACTGTAGTTACTATAACAAAAACAAACTTTGGGTGCACCTATAAGAATTTACATTAAAAAACCTTCAAATTGACGTTCTAAGATCACTAATAGCTTATTTGGTTGTGGAGTAATCTTTTCTGAAAGTTGATTTTTTTTTATCTCAAAAATCCAGGGTTGTAGTCAAGAGGGATCTAGACTCTTCAGAGTAAAATAAAAAAAAGGCGTTTGTTAAAAATGCCAAAATAAGCGTTTTGGCCAAGTTTGGCTCAAATCGGTGACATCGACTACAGGTGGTGTACCCACTTGAGCTGGAATGACTGGTATTTAGAATCTTCTCGGAAC